TATATATATAGCTGTCTATCTGTCTATCTCCTTCTCTATAGTCCCAAGACCAAATAAAAAAAAAAACATGTTTAGCGTCCTGTTTTTCGGAAAAATACGAAGGAGGAGGCCCTTTTTTCTTTTTCGTTTTTTCTTTCAAAATGGCCGCTCAAAATGGCCGCTCGGTACATTTTCCCCGACAGTCGGGCTATTTTTCAAGATGGCCGCCGACATTTTTTTTTTTTTTTTTAATCAGAAATAAATCCATTTTAGCAGTGTTTTTCATGTGTTTTTTCTTTAAAAAAAAAAAAATCAAAAAAAAAATTCAAAAAAAGAATTTTCAAAAAATTTCAAAAAATTTCAAAAAAAAAAAAATAGGAGGCGGCCCCCAAAAAGGAAGACGGGGACGCTAAACATGTATATTTGTGTACATGGCCTAACCTAATATCCCCTTTCTCTCTCTCTCTCTCTCTCTCTATAGTTGCCTATAATATCTATCTAACTGGATTCAGCTACTTATGAACGTAAAAATATGCCTTTCTCTATATTCAAATCATGGTTAAATATGAATATTAATTTTATAAAATGCAATTTTAATGTTTGAGTTTTATAATATTTTAAATAACAGATAGTATTAATATTTATTTATAAAACATAACTTTATATCACACAATGCAGGGAATATAGCAAAACACTCTTCTTTTTTTTTCTTGTTCTTGTAATAACATGACACATAATGCATAAAGTAAATAATATAATGTATTATAGTGCATCCGAAGATTTAGATATATAAAACCTAATATAGCAATTTTCTGAATAGATTATAACCCATGCTATTCAAAATATGTAGATCAGTGTACATATATTTGATCTCTATCATGCCTTTCGTATGAAGTTTCCAAATAAAAAGCAAAATGTGCGTCCTTCGAATTCATTATCATCAGTTACATCAATGATTGCTGTTAACATCAACAACAAAAAATCTTTTCTGTCACTGACTGAAGCAGTAGTGATTTTTTTCTCTCCCTCTTTTTTTCCCTTCGTTTTCCCCCCGTCTCACAAGGTTAATTGTTAGCTACTTGCTGCGAACATATTCACAAAGCCTTGGCATCCGCCCTCTCTTTGTGCTACTCGTAAGGGGGATTAAAAACAGGAAAAGGGAAAATACCAATTAAATGCTGAAGATCATCACTCATAGGTTACAAGCACACTGTATCTTATGAATTACGGCAATTGTAATAATTGTCATTGTTGTAAACATTCAGTGATTGAGCTACTTCCCCCTGGCGGTATGCCTTGCACTACCTAAATCGGGACAAGTCCATTTTCACAAACTTGGTAAGAGTATTATCAGACCTCACTACACCGTTGTTTCCTCCTGTTAAATTTCTTACATCCCTCTGATGGAGTATTGGTTTTGGGGAAAGGTAATGATGTTCCACTGTGGAACAAATTAAACAATCTTCAAGAAAAAAGAAAGAAACTAAGAATTAAAGAAAGACAAATGAACGAAACGAACAATGGATAATATAGAAAAAAAGAAAAACAAGAATGGAAGAATTTCAAAGATAATAAACATACATCATAGAAAAGCAAAACAAACAAAGATACATGTAAATCAATCAATAAACTTGAAAAATAGATAGACATACAGAAAGAAATTAGAAAGAGAGAAAGAAAGCTAAAGAAAGATAGCAAAAGCGAAAGGAATACAAAGAGAAAGAAAAGAATGAATAAAAAAAACGAAACAAACAAACAAACAAGCACACATACAAACAAAGGAAAAAAATTAAAAGGCTAGTAGAGATACGGAGGAAAATAAGTGAACTTGAGTCGGAATCCCGTGTACATTGCAAACTGCTACAGTAGACAGTGACATGTTATGTCATCTTGTGTCTCGACACGTTTGGTCCCCTCCTTCACACCTTGATACATTACAATTTAATGTCTATAGACTGTCGGGTACTCGATGACTGACTGACATTTGACCATGTCCTACGAATCCCCCTTCACGCGATGAGTTGTCCAATTTACTCATACTGACCGCGTCGTGACATCACATACCTGGTTAGCCTCAGGAGCAACTTCAGTTCTTGACGAGATCGACTGATCTGAGCCCTGTTTCATAAAACTTGGCACATGTATTGAGAACAAGGTACATAATATAAGTTACTTAAATACTTTGATTTTGATTGGGGATGAGAAGATTGCTCCGGCAATTAATTATAATAATGATAATGATAAAATGTTCATTTGTATAGCGCTCTCACACAATAGGTTTCACAGCGCTTTACAAAGTATGAAAGTGGGAAAAATCAGTTAAAGGGGAACTAACCCCAAATAATAAGTGTAGATATTTTGTAAAACGAGATGAATTCCTGCCTTTTGATGTACAATAAATCTTACGAACGTGTACAAGAGATATTAAATGAAGATTTCTTGGCATGATGTTAAGAAAATGAGACGTACTAATGAATATCCTCCCACTCAACAGACCTTAATTTCCTTAGCTCAAACTTAGCTATTACATTCTGCCATATCGCATTATGCCAAATACACACACGCACGCACGCACCCACACGCACGTACGCACACATGCTAACACACACATGCACACACACTATCACCATTCAAACTTAGTCTTCTATTTCACTGCATTAATAGTATAGGGCCTAGTTCCTGAATTATTTGATGACTAATTTGACGGCAAGCAGTTTATTACAACAGGTCGGCAGGAAGGCATACTTACACATACTTAGTAACGGCAGTGACGGGTGTAAAAAGTATATGAATTGTCAATATGATTATGCCTTAAATTTATGATTATCGACAAAGTCATAGCTACTTTTATCCTAAACCGGAATTTGCTTCAGTCTCTTGCTCCACTGAGACTACGTCTGGTTCCTCTGACCCCCTCTATGCTGTGTATGAGGAAGTTTAATGTCAGTTTTATTAAAGAATTCCCCAAGTCAGACGGTTATTTCTGTCTAATTCCGTCCTACTTTTATTTTTAAAACGTTACTTCCCTGACGACACGCTGTATGTACTTGAATTATGAATTATAGATGGCTCATGGATGGCAGGATGAATGTGATCTATATGGATTCATAATGTAATCTATAGGGAATTGAAGATTTATACTTGCATAAACATACTTCTCTTTTACTTCTACTCTCAATTTACCTGTAAAATTACAATGAAAATGTGTACTTAAAACTATGTTCATCGAAAAATATGTTAATTCTAAAATAGAAGACTCAAACTGAGCATCGTACACTATCCTTAAATTTAATTTATCTTCTTCTTTTTATATAAGCAATTAAGTGTAAGAAAATAATTTGATTTAATTATCTCAATTTATTTAGGTCATTTAAAAAAATATGAATATTTTTGTTGCGCTTTGTGTTTGTTCACATGCCGTATATGATTATCATTTTCTTCATGCCACAAAGTTCAACATACATGAAATCTTTCTAAAAAGTTATTATGCTTGATGGATGTGCTTAAATTCTGTTATGTTATGTTATTTTACCGTTACTTCTTAAAGTTATTCACATGTAACACCAGCGGACGTGGGGAACCTCATGACAGAATGGGAATTCTTTTAGGTAATCCTCGGGCGTCCGCTTGTGGCATTTTTACTGTCTTGTAACTCTCTCATTTTATACGCTCTGTGTTGTCGTTCTATTTCATTTATACATGTACCTTGAAATTAAATAAATAATTTATAAACTTAATTAAACATGATTTAAATAAATTAATAAATGAACGGATGGATGAATGAATGAACAGATGGATGGATGGACGAATAGGCCTACTTGAATGAAAATACATGGAAGCAATAAATATATGCCCGATTGAGTTGAGTGAAAGATTACTTCAATGGATGAAGAAATGAATAAATAATGATTAATAATTAATGAATGAATGAATGAATAAATGAATGAATAAATGAATGAATGAATATGAAAGAATGAATTGCGTTTATTGAGCACACTGGAAAAAATATATCAGGGCACCTTCAAAATATGATAACACTTCCTAGTTTGTTATAGAAGATGGAGTATGAAATATCATGACCAATTGAAAAAAATTGTACAGCTTTTTATGTTTAATGTACTGAATTAATTCCATTTCAATCTAGATAAGAACATTTAGATATTGTACTTTAAAAGTTCCATTTCATTTGGCTCCATTTGTCCAACTCTTATGGGATAGGCGCCTAGCAAAATGTGTAGTATAAATCAACATTTAAGGAGATTGCATAACAATTAGATACAGATAGCAATGAATAACAAAATGAAAAATAATTATAGACAATAATTTTTTGTTGTTTTTGGTATAAGATAAATTTCATTTCTTTTTTGGTATAAGATAAATTTCATTTCAAGTTTCTTCGGAACGATTTTAGGGTGGGTGAGATTCGGTATGAGGGGATATGAGGGGTGCAGCAGCAGTGAGTGCCCTGTCATCCCAACTCCTTTAGCTCCGGGTTCTTTAACTTTAAGCTTTGTGGAAATGTAGCTGACACTTGAGAGTGCCTAGGAAAATTCCATATTTGGTAGAATTTGGCTACGAGAAGACTTTAAAGGAAATATCCAATATCCTAACGCCAACTCTTAAAGAAAAAGTAGACGCAGAGCCAAAGTTTGGGAGATATAAGTTTGCCTTTTACTTCCACAATTGAAAGATGGAAGACTTAGTCACTTTGGGAAACAATGCCTTAATTGTCAAGTTTAAGTATCTCGAAGTACTTAATTATAATTAATCAAACATCCGGATATGTATTTTCGAGAGGACGCAATCACTAGTAGTACTAGTAGTAGGCAAATTCGATGTTCCCCCTTGAATTCTTAAAGACTTAATTGTTGTGTCCTTATAACGATTGCAAGGGAAGCGCTTAGCACATTTTCTTTTGCTGTTGAATTTCACAGTATTGTCAACACCACAGAACAGTAATTGCTGTATTCCGTTGTTTTTTCAATGCTTTTGTCGAACGACAGCATAAGTAGCCTATCGAGCATACATCAGCTAGCTATAGGTTGCATAGAAGACATTTTATATATCACCGACTTCCTTGCACGCGCGTCCCGTTTGTCACGCACGCTCTCTCTCTCCCAGGCAGCGCTGGCAGCAACAGGAAACAGTTCTACTCCTATCTGTCAGGGACCAAACTTCCCAAACGCAAGGGTTTCACTCGCTCCCTGTCATTCGGTCGAGGCACACGAAGTCAGACAGCAATTCAGCTAATCTTGTCAGCTAGCTATCCTGCAACCATGGGCCTTTGGAAGGTTCTTCCCATCCTGGTGTTGTGCATCCACAGCACCTTGGCAGTATGGACTCTGAAGTGGATGGCCACCAAGTACATCCCTTCGGATTATATCAACAATGGCGTCGGGGAACACAAGTACGACCAAGGTGCCGCAAACAGTGTGGCCTTTGATCCCGCAAGCTCCTTTGCATATGTTGCTGGTGAGTCAAACTCTCTTTTAATCAATCAGAACGAAGTTTAAAAAAAAAAAAAAAAAAAAAATAGAAAGGGTTCATCTGGTCATGAAATTGCATTGTGAAAGAAGCGGTCTCGAAACATTTGCGAAAGGTTGATGATGCAGTACATGGAATTTATGTATAATGCGAGGCTTTGGAATCCTCAAAATGATAATACGAAGTTTACTCTTATCTCTCTGAAAAACACATACACTGCACAAAGTGATTGGGATATATATTATGTATCCACACATACATAATTGTGGCATGAAGGTTTGGTCAAACACTAACAATTTTTGGTCATATTTTATTAATAGAGCAATTGAAGAGTAATCCTTTTCAGGGAAATTCTCGGGCAAACTGATACGCAAAGAATGAGGAAATTGAGGGATTATTCTTGACTTTACCAGAACTCAACCTTAAACAAGTTATAACCTATAAACTACTTATACATTTCAAACTAGTCCAAGTTTTAACGAAGTTAAACTAGTCTTTTCTTTGATTAAATGATTTCAAAACTTATCAACAAGGATAGCAACGACAAAGTCGTGAGATTTCCTTGCAATTATTATGCTTATGTTAACCTGTTGATATGTTCTATTGAGGAAGATTCTCATTACTGATTTAGGACTGATTCGGCAACTAATACAATGTATGACTATGAAATGAATATGAAGATTTCAACATTATTATTTCATGATAATATTCTCGCCAACTCCGAATAAGGCCTAAAGAATATATTAGTTATTCTGATCCATCGCAAATCTGAAACGTAATTGGTTGAAGCATAATGTCAGACGCGGCAGTACATCCGACCGTTTCTTGCCGCATTACTTCCGTTCTTCAATCACCCGAAAGAGGGTCTTTCGAGAGGAGTCAGTCGGATCCTAAATTGGCCCCATCCGCCTGTTTACTTCTTTTTACAGGCAAACAGGGGCAGACAGGGTTTGAAAGGTTATACCCGTTGTGTCATTTCCATTGCGTCATTAAGGACTTTCAGATTTGCACGTCTACACAGTGGACTGCTACGTGTGACGTCCTTTTAAAGCACTGACAGTCCCTTAAAAGGATGTCACATTGCCTTAAAAGGACTTCACACGTAGCAGTCCACTATGTCGACGTGCAAATCTAAAAGTCCCTATTGCCTATACCAATCAACCCTAAATGGAGGCACATTATTATTCCCGTTTTACACGAGGCCTCGTTTCTGTAGCGTTATTAACATGTGCCAACATATCCTATGGACTCGCAATTATGCCCATCGAAAAAGGGGTTTAATTTTGATTGCGCTATTACCTGTGCCAATCAAACTTTGCTACGCAATTAGCTCTTACCCATGTTCTTTACCGCAATGCTTGCTCCATTCATTTTGCAAAGACCGCATCACTCATTGCAAAGACCGCATCACCGTATTGGGAAGATCGCACCACTCACTGACGCAAGTCAACGTCAGTAAAGTGATGCTTCAGCTAGTGACGTAGCGATTGCACCACTCAGGAGGGCTAAGAATACAAACCTTGATTAAGTTACTATTTTGAATGGAAATAGGCGTCCATGGTTAGAGGCTTTTTGTTTTCATAACAATTTTTTGTTATATTAATCAATGATTATACTGCAATAAACCGCCCCTCCTTTCCCTCGTCTCTCCCTCGTCTCTCCCTCCCTCTCTCTCTCTCTCTCTCTCTCTCTCTCTCTCTCCTTCCTTCTCACTCTCTGTCAAATCACGTCATCTTCACTTTTAAAAGTGACCATGAAAAAAAATCTAAAAATATATGATAATTCCATAATTTCATTGAACTGTCCTCAAATATTTAATCAGGTTAGCTATTTGGAAGCATCCGTGTTGTACTGTGCCAAAGTTTGCCCTGTTTTAAAGTCCAAAATAAACCAACCCACCAACTTCAGCTGTCTCTTAATAAATTATCGGAAATTTAATTTGCCACTGATCCTATTGACCTTATGTTCCATTGCTGTTTATGACGTCATTACTTAAAATAATGAATTTTCAATTTTTCATTATTTTGATTGTCTTTTGTGATCTTCAGTCTATATTGTCTTCTATCTGATATTCCAAAAAAAAAATCTAGACGCAACCTCAACATCGGTAGTGTTACAAGCAAAAACAAAAAAACAGCATCAGTTTAATCGACAATTATAAGCACCGTTTTTTTTTTTTAATAATCTATATCTTTCAATTTAAATGTAAAGAGATTGTATTCACTTATATTCCATGGTGCAAATTTCAGGCGGGAAATTATTTACCGCAAAGTCATGTTCCACGCTTATTCACCTATCATCACGAGGAACAAAGTTACTTTTTTTTTTCAATCAGTGCAGTTCCTTTTACTCTTGGCGGTGTACGTGTGAGGGGGTTGATATTGGGGGCTGATTTTATCTACCATGGAATTGCTATGACTTCATCGAGGGGTCGCTAGCTTTTTTGTTTCCCGATACCACGTCCCCTCGCAATACCCCGTGATTCCCCTTGACTTCAGACGACTATATGCCGATTAGTCACTCGCGGTAAACCGTTGGCAAAAGTGGAATAGCTCTAGGGGACACAAGAGCACATCCCCCACCGAATGGCAAATAAAAAGAAACAAGAAAGAAAAAGACGGGGGAAATGAAATGGAACGTGAAAAGAAAATGAGAGGTCTGGACCCACACCTTCTCATTGAACCTATGAACTACTTATAGTCGCATTTCACCAACCCTGGGCCCCCTCCCTCCGTGATATCGGTACCCCTTCAGTGGCGAAACATTGCTACGCCACTCCCGACCTGATGATGCCCGTGAATCAGAGAGAGAGTTCACTCGCAAATGGCGTGTAGAGATAAGAGAACTGCAATTCACCGGGGATGCTGACTTATGCTTCCGATCCTTTATCCTTTTCTTGCAGTGCTTATTAATGGGTTGACGGACTTGGTTGGTTAGAGAAATAGGGTTGGGCTGAGCGTCGCGAAAGGGGGATGTGGGCTAAGCCCCCCCCCCCCCCTTCTTCATCTCTCCTGTTTTCCCACATTTCATTTCATTTCCCACAAACCTGAAACATTAGTTTTTTTATTCAATAGTTTCATCCCATACCACTTGTTTGCTCTTATTCACAGTCCATGTCACTCATTCACATCCTTGGAAAATGGAGTTTTGATACTTGTAGGCAAAGCGGTGGCAGATCTAGGCTAGAGGCTCTCCCAGCCCCCCGCCCCCTTCCCCCGTCTTCCAATAGTAGAACACAATTAGACATACCCTCAGCAGAACATTTATCCCCTAATTATTGTTCCCCAATCAAAAAAGCATCTGAAGTTGTGATAACATCTTCTTCTTCTTCTTCTTCTTATTCTTCTTTTCCTTCTTTTTCTTCTTCTTCTTCTATTTTTTTTTTATTTCTTTCTTTTTTCTTCTTCATTGATTATTCTTTGGTGAATTCTGTCAAGCCTACTGAACCTTGAGTAGATTCTGACTCTTAAGAACAGGTGTATATGCAGGCAATTGAGCAAGTATCAATAAACAGTCAGCTACCTTACCGTATAACTTATAAACGGATTTAGGGGCACTGCTAAAACAGTGTGAATTGGGGTGCGAGAGATGTTGGGGGAAGGACCTAATAATATCAGCTGAAAAATAATAAATGCGAAATTTACAGGGTGATAAAATTGATCATTCTAATTTTTAATAGAAGGGGAGGGGGGGGGGGCTTTCCACTCCAATCCTCCCGCTTGTACGATATCTAGCTCTGATCACATTACGCTATTATTTGACAGTGACGGGCCCCTGGCTCATGCTGCGATGCGTCATTTCCCGTGTTATGGTGGTGATGACGGCGATAGGTAGATCCACTTTAATTCTCCTCGGGAGACACGATAGGCAAAGTTTAAACTGCAATAGTCCTGAGTTTAGTCACCCGATGGTGCTGCATTGCAGCCGCAAAACACATTTCGCATACCTAATTTATTCATTCATCCATTTTATTACACTGAGCAGCATAAAAACAACAGGGAAATTGAACATGACCAGATACATACATTATACACAATGAAAATAACTTAATACAGATAAAATTAATGTTATGCCGGAGTAGGCAGCAGCCAAAACAAGACACTTATAATGAGACTGATCCAGGAAAAAACAGAAAACAGATATTGTATATAACTTTTAGAAACCGATCTGAAATCACAACTACTATATTTACTTAAATATGTAGTTATGCCGGAGTAGGCAGCACCCAAAACAAGACATAATGAGACTGATCCAGGAAAAAACAGAAAACAGATATTGTATATAACTTTTAGAAACCGATCTGAAATCACAACTACTATATTTACTTAAATATGTAGTTATGCCGCAGTAGGCAGCAGCCAAAACAAGACACTTATAATGAGACTGATCCAGGAAAAAACAGAAAACAGATATTGTATATAACATTTAGAAACCGATCTGAAATCACAACTACTATATTTACTTAAATATGTAGTTATGCCGGAGTAGGCAGCACCCAAAACAAGACATAATGAGACTGATCCAGGAAAAAACAGAAAACAGATATTGTATATAACTTTTAGAAACCGATCTGAAATCACAACTACTATATTTACTTAAATATGTAGTTATGCCGAAGTAGGCAGCAGCCAAAACAAGACACTTATAATGAGACTGATCCAGAAAAAAACAGAAAACAGGTATTGTATATAACATTTAGAAACCGATCTGAAATCACAACTACTATATTTACTTTTTATCTCCCATTAATTTACCACGACATATCCGTTGTTTTAATATCCCCTTTTTTTACCTGAACATACAATCCCGACGTATGAGCGATATTAGAGAACAAATCTAGTTTGTCTCAAATGTCTTTTGTAATGCTCGAGTCTGGCAAAATATTGAAAGATAAGTATAATCCCTGAATATGCTGAAAAAATATCAATGCTGCTTGCGCTACATAATGTAGATGGTGAATCAAGTGTTTGCATCAGTATTCGCGGAGTGGCTTAATGGCTTAACTGATGTAGATGAGATATTAGCGCGCGTAATACTCTCTTTCTTAACTAAAGTTAATATCTGATTATTTTTTTATCAGAACTTCCCCTCTATCTGGGTAACTATTTTATTATGACATTCAACATGTTAAATTGTATGTATTCTCTGCCGGAGTACATATTTTTATTAGGTAATACGTGTAATTTGTGAATCTATCATTATTTTATTCGACTCGATTCCCATACCTTATTATACTTCCTGTATATATCGTGTTCGGACTATGTAAATCGTTGTCATATTCGCACATTTCAATAGGTGATTTTAAAATTGTCCGGGTTGATTTTTAGAAAGTTTTTGCGATCGTGTCATCAGTGTTTTCGTCTCGTTGTTGTTATTGTTGTTGTTGTTGTTCTACTTCTTCTTCTGAGTTTTGGAATGGGAAGATTTCCGATATGAAAATATTGTTTAAACACGGTCAGATATTCCGTTTTATTTAAACCAGGAAAGGAAGGCGCCGTAAAGACAAGAGCAGGATTTTGAGTTAGAGAGATTTAAGATAAGAAAAACAAATTGTATAGACACGGCCATAGTTTTGAGCTAGAGTTCATGATAGACTCTAACCAGAAAAGGAAGGCACCGTGAAGACAGGAGCAGGGTTTCGGGTTGGGAGAGATCAGACGAGATTTCCTTGACCCCCTTTCCTGTTTTTCCCCCTATCAAAGGTTCATCTTAAGCCCCACTAGGGGGTGGCCCCTTCCTCTTCTCTTCCCGCTGCCCTTCAGAGCGATCGAGGGTCGTGTCAAGTTCCTTCTTTACCCTACATAATAAGTGTGATGAGAATCAAATGAGACAGTGAAGTCGGATTTAATATCATGATCTTGACAAAGTTTTTGTTGACTTTGACATAGAGGATTTACTGATAGTATTGGCTTAATGCACAATAAGCCATGGACTTCCGTTTAATCCTTAAACTGATTTTCTGTCGGGGCTATAGTATTACAAATATCATATGTTATGTTCTTGATCAAGCAACAATGAAACATTTCAAGGAGCATTCTAAGTTGTTATCTTCTGACTGGAGACAAAAACAAAATGTATATATTTTGATATGATTTAAGAATCAATACGGGATTTCCGAATTCACTGATTAAATATTTTCTGTCAAATGATTCAAAAGCAATGTGAGTTAAAGTTTATCAGTTTATTCCTACAACATAATTATGGTTAAATATTTGCTTTGTATTCAGCTCTCTTGCTATCTACCTCCCTCCCCTACCCTGCTCCCTCCTCCTTCTCTCTCTCTCTCTCTCTCTCTCTCTCTCTCTATCTCTCTCTCTCTCTCTCTCTCTTTCTCTCCCTCACTCCCCCACCTATCTCCTTAAACCTTTCTCTTCTCACTATTTCATACCTTTCATTATTATAAGGTCGTTTGACCTTTGCATAACAGTATAATACATTTAGTATCATTATAAGGAGAAAAGTAAAAAGGAGACAATATTTTCCATCACTTGTTGTGGTATTGAATTGATTATACTCTTCACCAAATAAGGTTAAACTGAAGGGACCTCCTCCCCCCCCCCCCCCCGTCACGTGTTAGTCACGTCTCAGCATATTCATCCTGAAGGCATTGACGTCAGAGGATATGAGCTCCTTACTTGTCTGACGTGGCCACACCCAAACGTTTAAGTTTCAAAGGGCTAGCCACACAGCACCAATAACGGTGACTATATTATAATGCCCACAAGACAGTATAGCATCGGTTTATGTAGAAATGGTTTTGGAGCTGAGAACATTGTGCTGAAGGCCTTTGAATTAGTCAGCAACACCAATAACCTAAATCTTTTGCAAAATATACCAATTTATAGTAATAGTTATCATTATCATTATCATTATCGGTAATGGAAGAAAATGGGGATCATCCCAGGAGTCCGACGAACAACAATTATGGGACAATATAGATATAAAAGAAGAAAGTTCCAAATGATTCACGAGATTGACAGCTAACGAGGCCGACAAAAAAGGGAAATACGTCAGTCTAGCGAGCCCTCTGAAAATTGGCCAGAGGGTCCAAGAGATCAATAATGGCTGTAGATCTCGGAGGCGGTAGCTACTGGGAATATTAAAGTTACAGACCATATAAGGTCGACGCATTCCATTTTATAATAATGACAATAATCATAATAATAAAAATAATATGTCCATTTATATAGCGTAGCTAGTATAATTATGAATATAGTGTACTGCGTTTTATAAAAAGTATCACATGTTTAGTATTATTCTGCATGGCTGAAGCTGAGATACCATGATAAGGCGCTTGACCAATCAAGGAATTTACTCGTACTGGGTACCCATTACTTCACCTGGTAGGAGAGTGGCAAAATGTAGATTAATGTCTGGACTCGAACCACGAACCTTGTGATCCATAATCCGGTGACGTATTCACTAGACCACGAAACCTCTAAGACTTTATACGATTTTGTATCTATCCCATCGGCCAGATTTTATTTCTACATATTTTTTTATTAGGAAAGGGTTAATTCTGTCCTAATGACGCTTATCAAGTCTTACGTGTAAGATAAGAAGAATTGTAACAGCAGTTACATGTATATATGATCTACGGATTAGACTTCTTAATTTACAAATTGAATTTGCCTTTAAAAGAAGCCCTGTTTTCTTCAAATAACCTCATATATGATAATTCAATAATGATAAGGGGCCTGCTCTGTCAGCATCGAGTCTGCTCTCAGTAGATCTTTTTCTGGAATCCCTATAATGAAGTATATTACATTTATTAAACCGTCGTGGGGTTATAAAGGAGACCAATCCCAATGAATTTATTATCAGAGGCCCTTTTTAAATTGACTACATTTTCATGAATAGGCCAACGATCTAATGTAAATAGGTCCATGGGTATAGGCTTATGAAGACATTATGAGATATGGCAGATGCACTGACAAGAGTTCGGGTAGAGAGTTACTCTGACCAGAGTTTGGTACTTTTTTTTCTTCTTCTCTTCCTTTTCCTCTAATCACATGTGCATTTTTTTTTTTTCAGGTAATAAATTCATTCAGGTCGTCGATTACTCCAGATTCGCACGACCGAACATTGTCCGTCGCCAGAAGACGACGGCTCCGGCTGCAGATATCGCCCGATGCGGATTCTTGGTCGCCTGGATTACCCGCGGTGTCAAAATAACCGATCCGGGAACCGTCCATGTGTGGGATATGTACAGGCGGGTCAGTAAGAAATGGAATCTTCTATGCGATGCCAAGGGTGAGAATGCCTCTCAAATTGTTATCAAAATTAGTTCAAAATCGGAAGATTGTGTTCGAAAGTGGTCATTTAATTGTGTTGTAGACAAATATTAGTTAGTTATTTTGAATGTGTGAATGTACTAGTTGTGTAGAGTTGATACATTGGAAAAGTGATGTTTTGCCATCAAGATAATAAAACAATATTTTGAAAATGCTAAGTCCGACGGATAAAAGTGGAGGCAAACAATTTCACTGCTACTGGAATTTCATATATTATAATGTGGGACAGCAAGATATAAATAAGTAATATATTTATAAATATATATATATTATATATTACTTATACTTATATAAATATATATACAAAATAATAAATATAGACTCCTACATCTTTTCTGTAATGATGAAATAGTATAAGCCGTAGAATCTTGTACGAGGTCACACAATTTAAAGTTTTTTTTTAACTTGAAGGACTTCAAAACGATCATATAAATTATAAGAGAACAAGTAAGAAGCATTATAGTTAAAATAAAGCTTACCATTCACATGCCTCGTGGACCGGAAGACACAGGAATACTCTTCATATCATCAACTTTTGTTCTTGTTTCTCTGTCTAGTCGGCGCCGACCCAGTCAGCCTGAAGTTCTTCCACAACTGCGAAACGATCGTGATCGCCAACAAGGGTACGCCGGCCGCAGATGCGGCGACCAACACCTTCACGGATCCTGAAGGAACCATCTCCATCGTCCGGATCGTGAAGGCCCAACAGCAGCAGCAGCAAGGCGGTCAACCGAACTACCCAGGACAAGGAGCCGGAGCCGGAACGCGTTTCGCAACCACTCAAGGCAATTGCGCTGCTCAATTTGGCCATCGGATGACCGTCACCACAATTGATTTCAGAAGATTCAATACCATGTAAGGATAAAGCACCCCCCCCCCCCACGCGCGGTTGTAGAAATATTTTTTGTTTTTGTTGTTGGGGGTCGGGGATCGGTGGCTGTGAGGTTGGGGTTCTCGCATTTAAAATATCGGGGAAACTTGACGACATACGGGGAGGGCGTGAACCCAAAGAACCCCTCTAACATCGCTTATGCGCCGCGCAGCACGTCGTAACCACGTACACAAAACGAACCGACTGCGATCCGATTCTAAATAATGATTTCAATATTAGAAATCTAGATTTATAGTGCATTTCAAACCTCCTAGTCGGATTAAAAGCCAAAAATGAGCCTCGAATCGAATATATAGTCATTGGACGACAGGTCCGACATCACTATGATTCGCTGTCAATTTGGATTTGTATGAATTTATTAAAAGGAGGGTTGCAATACCTCGAAATTTCTATCTTATTTATCATATGAGTATTCAAAACCTCGATCATTTCGTTTTACAAGTTTTAAAGTATAGTTCTTTAAAGGATATTTTATGAGCAATTGCTATTAGTGTGTATGTTACGCGGCAACAGCGAAAAATATGGAGTATTGCGTCGGTGATAGTACAACTATCAGTACGACCACCACGACTGGCAAATGTACCATTTTACATGTGACCTCACATTGACCAATCTTGTTGGTAGATTCTTGGGTTGTGAAAAGTCATCACGTATATATTTTTTTTTAATCTTTCAGGACGAATAGGCCATTCCTCAACGGAGTCCGCATGCCATACGACGGTTCAATGGACGGCTCTAGGCCAACGCTATCCAAGGCCCTCGAACCAACATACGTCACTGGAGACCCAACCTACAACGATACCGCCTACGTCAGTCTCAGGGTATGTTTAGATCAGCTAGCAAAAACAAAGTCCTGTTAGTGTTTGTAAAGAATGGAGAGACCCATTGCACGCCTGGTTACATCACGTGGGATCTACATCGCGCGTTTGGACCCACGTCCTGTTTAAACCGCGTTCAGTTGGACCAACGGAACAGCATCAAGTTGGAACTGGGTCCCTTGTTGAACCACGTACCGTTGGTCCTGCGTTCATTAATCTGACCTTCGTCCAGTTCTATTGGGATTCTGTCCCTTTGGAACATTGTCTCCTTGGACATGCGCACAATTGGTCATACGTTGTACAACTGGACCTTTGTCCCGTTGGATCTGCGTTCCATCTGGTCCTGCGTCCAATAATATGACCATCGTCCAGTACCATTGGGATCCTCTCCCTTTGGAACATTGTCTTCTTGGACCTGCGTCTCCTGGACATGCGCACAATAATTGGTCATCCTTTAAACAACTGGACCTTCGTCCCGTTCCAACTGCGTTCCGCCAACGTCTTCTTCGACCCGCGTCTCCCTGGTACCGCGTCCCGTACTTGCACCCGCCTCTAGTGGGGTGGGCAAAACCGGCCCTTCCACCTTTAAACAAAATAATATTGCATACCTTTAAAAAAATACCAAATGAAAAAGTGCCCACCCCATTCAAGTTTTTAATCTAATAGGGGGCAAGCATAAAATCTACTAATCTGATTTAAGAGAAAATTTCGGAATTATGTCCGACCCTTTTTCAAGATAAAAAAATCTAGATGCAGACACCCAATAATGACGTCAGTGATTTTATTTGATTTTATTTTTTCATAACGTACAGGCCAACAATGCTGTCGTCCAGCTCATCCTCACTCCCGGAAACGAGGCCATCACTGGGTTCAACCCAATGGGTATGAAAACCTGGTTCAACAACGATCTTGATGCTTCAAGTACACCTCGTAAGTGCATTGTTTCGTTAAAACCCTGAACGGCCCTAGATCAGGGATATACGAGCCCTCAAAAACGTATCTGAATATTTATCTGTAGCACCAAGTTGAGTTTAAGAAAGTATGTGTCAAAAAAGTTCAGATCAAAAGATTTTTTGTTTTTCTCTCTATGAGTGACATGATTTGTAGATCTGAGGAAGCATTACATTTCAACCCGTTACCTTTCCTTTCAGGGGGCATATCCTTCAACAAGTACAACATGTACAGTATGAGACAGCCGAATGCCATCGAGTCCTTTGAAATCAGGAACCAATACAATCTCGCTTCATACCTCTTCACCGCCGATGAGGGCGCTACAACTTCTTACAGGTCTGGAAGCAAATCATTCACCGATGCTGTTCCCTTCTCCAGGCTCCAAAACCGTAAGTACATCCTGGTAGTGACGTCACTTCTAAATCAAAGGCAAAACGCATTATCCTTAGCGGAAGGGAAAATGACCCGGCCCACTATTTTGCTAACCGTCAAGATGACTTTGCATATATACAGTATTATGCAGACTGATGTCCTTTGGCAAGGCATTAATCTACGTTTGCCACTCCATACCCAGGAGAGAAATGGAGACCTGGTAGGATGACGAAAAAAATTGTGTTATAGTAAATTAATTGCCATATGTCCTCACGGTGATTATACTAATAAGGTAGGAATACTCCCCAGGGAGTGGAAATGGTGCCGATTGTGCGTGAATAAATCCGATGACCGCGGTAATTCTGTAAAGCGCTTAGAGACGGTATTTCGTATCAGTAAGCGCTATATAAATCCAGATTATTATTATTATATTATGATTCCTTGTCATTTTTTGTCCATTTTTACAATCAAGCAATTCATGTCAATCACAGTAAAAGAATTCATTTAAAAAAAACAGAGCAATGAATGCTAGCATCACTTGTACAAACTTGCATTACCTGTATAAATTTTCATTACCTGCTTAAATTTTGATTAACCAAATTGTATTCATTCTTCTTCTTCTTTAATCCTTCAGTACCCAATTACATTAGCAGGAACCACACAGGGCCAGGACAGCTCGGTAAGTTCGATCAAGTGATATATTTTTTTCTTTTATTGGTTACTTTTATCCTTATTCCATGCAAGTTTTACAAAGGAGGTTTTTGTATTTAAAACCAAATTTTAGAGCGCTTTAAAAACATAAAATAATAATAAAAAAGGAAAGCGATTTCCTAGTATCCACTTTCTTAATTTATTCGCTTAAATCCAATATAATCAAGGGGTAATGGTGCGGGCTTGAAGTCCCCCGCCAGAACAGCTACTGCGTGGTAGGCTTTAAGAGATCTTATGTATAAGAATGCAGTATATTCATTTCTTTGCCCCATTTTTAAAATTTCTTTCCAGGCAATTTGGAAGTGAGTCGCGTCGACGGTCTGAGGAACCCCCAGAACCCCAATTCCGGCTACGACTACGTCAGCTTCTTCGGAGGGCGAGGAATTTCTATGTTCAAGGTAACTTGTTTCTTCTTCTTTATTCTTCCTCTTCTTCTCCTTCTTAGTTCTTGCTAGATATGACAAACATTATTGTTTACCCTATACCTAACAATACGTAATACATGCAATTTGCATTCTGGCTATGAACATAGAATTATTCGTAACAGGTGAATGAAATGTTTCTTATTTAGGCACTTTATTATAAAAATGGCCTATTCCGACGGTTCACAATTCCGACAATGGAAATTGATTCTGATATTCCGAAAACGAAAGAGCCTCAGGGTTTATGAACCTTATTATATTTTCGGAATTGTGAACCCTATTTCACATTAAAAAAATTCATTTTCGAAATTACGAAGCTTTTTTCTTTTTTTGAATTATGAATCTTCAGAATAACAAACCTTCGGATAATTCCTCAAAAGTTCGGAATTATAAAGTCTATTTCATTTTCGGAATTACAATAAGTAGGAAACGTTGGAATTATGAACGCTGTTTCATTTTCCGAAATACGACCCTTCGAAATAACGAACCTGTGGAGTAATTACTAAAATGTTCGGAATTATATATGAACCTTATCTAATTTTCGAATGTGTAGCTCCATTATGGGAAATTTGCGTTGCGGAATTATGAACCTTCGGAAAATGATACACTGGTTTTAAAAAAAATGGATCTTCGGAAAAACGAGTCGGTCTATTAAACCCCCATTATCTTCCTTTTCTTTTACAGTTCAACGACACAAGCAGCAACCTGGATCTGGTGTGGGACAGTGGTGATCAGGTCGCCCGGGGCGTGGCCGAGACTTACCCTCAGGTCTTCAACTCCAAGAGTACCACCGCCGACGCGCAATCCCATGGACCCAAGTCACAGAGGGATCTGGCTTCCACCGAGAGGGTATTTATTGCATAATCAACATTTTCACATGCATGTAGTGGTAGTATAAGGGAGTTTACAGATAGCACATGGTACAAATGACCCCAAATATCCACAGATCTTTTACACATGGAGAAGTTCCCATTTGAGCATCTTAAAATAATAACTGCCAAAGTCCTAGTCTGTTGTGCTTCATGAATACCTTTTGTTTGACCTCTTGAAAAGAATACTTTCACCTGCGTATCATAGGATGTACCGTTGGTGCATAAATGAATAATGTTACATAACTTTCACGAGCGCATATCCAGTATTCATCTCTGTGGGTTTTACCATTTTGGTACAAATGACCTTTATCTGCCCATGCGCAGATGGTATCTGTAAACTCCCTTATTCAAGGGGAGGTTCCAGGATTTTGTAAGCAGGGGGCCGGGCATAATTCCGATAAATCAAGGGTATAGTCTTTGTTGTGTATAGTTAAGTCTTGTTGGGTTTTAAAAGGGGTAAGGGCCGGTTAACTATTGTTCCCCGTAAAATTCTCATCTGGTAGCATAGCGAGGAAGCCGATGCAGCCCCCCCCCCCCCACACACACACACTCATACGTGGTATTTTAAGAGTTTCAAAAATGCTGTAATCATTTTATCAAAATGATCGTTCATAATATTCTGAGAGAACTTTTGTAAATAATATGTTGCATTTATTTAGCGCATGACATGAAACATTTCAATGCGATTCGAATGGGCTATGAAAGAATGACAAATTCAGTATGATAAATACAGACCTTACCTATAACAAAATTGAGAATAAATTCTTAAGTCCCCCCCCCCCCCCTCCCCCGCTAAGTCTCTTCTTCTTCTTCTTCTTCTTCTTCTTCTTCTTCTTCTTCTTCTTCTTCTTCTTCCTCTCTCTCTCTGTCTCTCTCTCTCTCTCTCTCTCTCTCTCTCGAGATATATTACTCTCTCCGTCTTTATTTACCTTTACAATCACCCCTTTTTTAATCATTTTAAAAATTATCCTCCTTTTTCTCTCTTCCACCAGGGTGCACAATGCAAAAGTCTTGCCGTCGCCAAAGTTGATCGTGACACCACCCTCGTCTTCGTCGGAGCCGACGGACCAAGCGTCATCGGTATCTTCAGCGTGTCCCAGAACGGCAGCTACCCCGCTTACGAATCGGTCTACCGCAAGGCCCCCATGGACGGAGAATTCTCCATTCTCATGGATAACAAGAACATGGGCGACATTGATCCTGCTAAGCTCATGTGAGTAGAATTGATTTTGTTTAAACTTAATTATTCTGATTTTATTGTATTTTTTTAAATAGTTATTATTAACTACCATCATCCGTATCATGTTTACGTGGGTTACCAAACATGTCATCTTCGTTATTTCTATTTCATTTCCCCAAGTAAAGCATATTGAATCATTTTCACTTTATTTTTTACAGATTCGTCCCAAGATCTGCCACACCCGACAACTACAACTATTTGATGGTGATGGGCAAGAAGAGTGGTACCCTCTCTATGTACAGGATTTTCAGAGAATCCCGTAGGAACATGCTGAACAGACTAAGTAAGAATTGACATTAATCTCTTCGACCTTTTCTGCGTTTATACATGTACGAGCAAACGTGAGCTATGATAGAAGAGTGTGGAATACAAGAGAAGAAAAGAAGAAGCAAAAATTAAAAAAAAAAGAAGGAGGAGAAGAAAATATAAGACAAGTAAAGAAGATATGGAATAAGAAACATCATAATGATAAAGATGAAGACAGTTAAGTAAAATGTTCCTTCCTCATTTTTTCTCCCTCTCTCTCTCTCAGGAAAAGAGGCCCTCTCAAGCGCTTCTGCTCTCAACCGTTCAGTGCCTGTCATTCTGTTGTCTTTCGTCTTTGCTGCATTTACCCGCTTCCTGTAAAATTCCAGGATAAAATCATAATAGAATTACTTCCAGTTATAATGGACAGTAAAATATAAAACGAAAAGTAGTTTTTCATTGTTATTATTATGTGTAAACAGTCTTTCTCGAAGTGATTAAAGGTTTTTCTGATATGGCCTGCACATTGTTTTATAACATTTGTTTTTTAGTATAACCTAAGCATTATTCATTGCTGAATTATAAGTTATCTTTTAACAATAATCAAATATTAGAGATACAACATTTTCTGTGCAACATGAATGGAACTTTTGTCATTTTAACCTCAACAACGGAAATGTGATTTAGGCTGGTCAATTTTATTACAACCCATGTTTTATGTTACTCGTTAATTTATTTTGCAGTATGAAGAGTGGACGTTCAATCCACAATGATGTGCAATAGACTCATTTTATAATTTTCAAGTAATCAAGAAAAGCTTCCTAGTTAGACCAAGAAATTCTTGTCATGTACATATTACAGATCATGACTGTTAAAATTGTATGCTTTCTTTCGAATGTTATAAAGTTGTTTATTCTCTAGGTGTTCTATATAGTTGTATCTAGTTTGTGATTGATTACTCGGTGTAGACACGTTTTTCTGAAGATGTACAGATTTTCTCGTCATGTAGTTCTTCATACTAAGGATGATTATTCTGTCATTTGAATGATTTAATAAAATAACTCCCTCTTATAGAATGTTGTTATGTGTTCTCATATTTTATTTTGAACTACCAATAGTATTTACTTCATGACTGATTTGTTGAAAGGCGGAGGCACAATTCCGAAAATACAAATTCTGACAACCAAGGAAAATATTACATTATTTTGTTGCATGAGACTTTGTGGTATACCACAGAAAAACAAAAGTATTGGTCGGCGTTTTCTTTTGTGTGTCCCACCTTGGTTTTAAATAGAGCAAGGGTTGTCTGTGTCTCCACTTGTGATTTAAAGGGGCATAGGGGTAGTACCTCCCCCCCCCCAGCCCCCCCCCCACCCACACACACACACACACACACACACACACACACACACACACACACACACACACCGACACATTTTCGAATCAAAATCTGACTTTTCATTTAAATTAGAAAATTAGAAAATGAGACAAAAATAATCATCAAATTGCTTTTACAGCTTCTTAAGTCATTTCATTTTTTCCTGCTCGGCCACAGTGCGTCCAAGTAGAGGCAAGAACCGGAAACTGGGTTCCCGTATCTCAGTATCTCTTTAAAGGTCATTCATATAAACTGAGAAAACTTGAACGCTGACATTTGAAGTAAATTTGAAATATCCTCAAAAATGCAAATTCATAGGGTACAGTCATGATAGTATAATATGCATTATAAATAATCCTTTATACAAAAAAAAACTTTTATGAAGCCCATGGGCTCGATATATTAATGTAAGACCGCTATCTATGACTTTAGGAACAACGCCATATCGAAATCAAAATCATAAAATGTACAAACTAAATACTTCGAAGAGATGAGACAGAGGATCATGCATCGCCATACCCCCCCCCCCGTGCCCTTTTTCATTTTTAATAAGTGTACTTTTCCCTTCTTTAATAAGAACCCCTTTCACTTTCTCTTAAATGCCACTTTTCACCTCTGATAATTGCCCCTTTTATTTTGACACGTGCCCCTTTTCCTTTTTAATAAGTACTATATTTCCTTCGGATAAGTGCCCGTTTTCCCTTATATGAGCCCCTCCTCCTTTTCAAAATGCCCCGTAACATCTGATAAATGCCCCTATCAAAATATGATTTCTCATCCATCTGATGTGCCATTTCCATTCTCACATGTGCCTCTTTTCACTTATGTTGAGTGTCCCTTCTTAGGTGCAAGAAGTGCCATTCTCACCTCTGAAGGCTCTGATAATTGCCTTCTTTACTTTGACACGAGCACCTTCTCTTTTCTAATAACTGTCCTTGTCCCTTTTTATAAGTGCCTACTTTTCCTTTCTCCATAACATGCACCCCTAACTTAAAGCCCCTTTTTCAACAATTTTCCCTAGAGCTTGCTCGTTATGTTAGCTCGCATTATTATTATAATTATGTTACTTGTAAATGAACTTTTCAGTCTTTGTTCATAAGATTGTGCATGAAGCAGCACATGACTAAAAAATCTCAGCAGAAGTGAAAAGAGGCACTTGTGAGATTGGAAATGGAACATCTGTTGGATGAGAAGTGTTTTTTTTTTTTTTTTGGGGGGGGGGGTCTTTCTTATTAGATGAAATTTTTTTTGCACTGGGACCTCACAAATCTTAAATTTTTTGCTTCGCTCGCTCAAAAATAAATATTCGGACCATCACACCTAACTGCAAAGTATGTTGCTTAATCAATGATGTAGGTTTTGTTGATGTTTTCCTGTGTAGGTGCCCCTTTTTTTTCTCCAGAAAGTGCCCTTTTTTTGTTGGTGCCCCCTCCCTATTTTGTTCTGACCCCAAACAAGTTTTTGCTCCTTACGCCACTGGCTAGAGCCTTCAAACTCATATTCGTTTGGCAAAAAATAAAGTATGACTTTTTATGAAAAATCGAAAAGGATCTCAATTATCTGCGCATCTGGGATTTGCTCTTTATATTGTGACAATTCGGGTATCCCATCGAAAGACGAAACAAAATAAGAAAGGGAATGATAAGGAGAAGAAGAAATGGAAGAAAAAGAAGAAAATGAAGAAGAAGAATAGGAAGAAAAGAAGAAGAAGAAGACTTTTTGACGTTTGTCCGAAGTTTAGGTTTTATGTTCTTGTTTTTTTTTTCTCGCAATCTCTCCCATTTTCATCTTTTCTTCTGTCTTCTTCTATTTTCTAGTTTACCTTCTTTGCTCTTTTTTCTTTCCTTTTCTTCCGTCTCTTTTTTTTCTTTCTCTCTCTCTTCATTTTCCTTCTTTCTGGCCGCCGTTGCTGTGTGGTGTTTTTAAATTTTAATCCCATCCGTTTCTCAGTGTGGCGATTTCATTTCTCCCTGTCACTCTCTCTCTCTCTCTCTCTCTCTCTCTCTCTCTCTCTCTCTATTCTTGTTCTTCTTCTCTTTTACCTTATTTTATCTTCTTTTTTTTCCGTGTTTTTTCCGTCGCTCTCTCTCTCTCTCTCTCTCTCTCTCTCTCTCTCTCTCTCCTTTTTTTTTTAGACCGCCAACAAGGTGGGGCCGCGGCCGATTCCGCCCCCACCTGGATCCAGCACTGTAATGAGGTTTTTTTTTTTAAAGAGAGACATAGAGATAGGGGAGGAAGAGAGACCATGAGAGGGACAAAGAGAGGGAGAGAGAGAGAGAGAGAGAGAGAGAGGGAGAGAAAGGGGATGGAAGAGCACGGTCAGAAAGCTGGGAAGAAGAAGGGCAGCGGCCAGATGTTTAAAAAAAAAGTCGTAAGAAAAGAGGAAAATTTCATATTATTTTGAGTCTCGTTGAAAATGGGCTTTGGTTTTATGCCTATATTGGTGAAGACAATGGGACATAATATGCTCAGGAAATAAAAGGCTTAAATTGACTGGTTTGAAGTTCATAACAGCTGCAGTATAGGTCAAGGTAACGTATTGGTCTCGACACAAAAAGTGATTTGCAGATAAAAGAACAAAATAAAGAATCGTTGTTATTGTGTATTATAATTGTTATGTTTTATTGTATTTCATTAAAACGTCATTGACATATTAAAGTCCATCTGCACTTGTTTGGCCAGGAGGGATTTGACCACCTAGCGTACGTGGTCACTGACAGGTGGTTACCTCATTTCATTTCATTTCATTTATTTCATTCTCCATAAAAACATTAAAACATACAAACATGATATTTTTTTTTTAAGGTCAGTTTTTATTCTTTTCTCTCTTGAAACAAATCATAATCATAGTACAAATTACAATCATCATATGTAACGCTCACTTCAAATGTGATGACATTATAAATCAGTATAAATTTTTGTCTTACAAACGGCTTCAAAAGAAACTTACATAGTCAGTTCCTATACATCATATTTGAAACAAAAATTCATATTTTCAAAGAAAACATATGCAGTTGTATAATCCAAAAATTTTGTTTTAACAATGTAGCAACTTATATACTTCTTTTATAATGTTGTCCTGAGAGAAAAGTTTTCTCTTTTTGTTAACCCTACCCTACCCGACCTCTCCCTTATCCCCCTCCCCCCCCCCCCCCTCTTAACCGGTGGACGACTGGCTCTGGGTTCCAATTGTTTGTCTAATACTCAGGTTTTCCCATTTAGAAAAATGAATAGTGAGAGTTCCCCTCATTGTTGTCAATTTCCTTTCTTCTACTTTATCCCCTATTATACTATTCTTTATTTCATTAAAAGAGGGTGGTTTTTTAAGTTCTCTATTTCTATAAATCAGATATTTAACAAGAATTAAAACATGATTCATGAATTGATATTTTCCTTTATTTCTCTCCTCTTTCCCATACAGAATTTCCTCCAAACTACAGTTATGTATTTCAAAGTCTAAAAATCTCGTGCACATTCCCCACACTGATTGTGCAAATTCAGAAGTATAGAATAAATGTTTATATTTTTCTTCATCTTTTTCGCAAAATGAGCATAAGTTAGTCGAGACAAGACCAAAACGGAAGAGGTTATGGTTTGTATATAATATATTATGTATAAGTTTGAACTGAAACTCTCTTAATCGACTGTTAAGTGTACACTGTCTTAGTCTTAAAAATATGTTTTCTATTTCCTTACAGGAAAAACCATAGTTCCTTCCAATTCTCTCAAAAACCAAAGGTTTAAAATCATCTTTCTTTATTAATTGTACATAAATTTGTTTTGATTTTAGATCAGCTATATTAGTTGTTTTCTTCCCCAAAGTGAAATCAGTTCCAGAATTATTTTTTTCTTCTCCCTTTCTAAAATTATTTTTCCAACAAACTGGTAAACAGGCATAAAAGTGCTTGATATTTTAAATTTCATTTACTTCAACACCTAAATCGATAAAATGCCTGTCACATTTTAGTTTACCATCGTTTTCCAGAATATGTTTTAATTTGTAAATTCCTTTGTCATACAACCTCTTATCGTATATACAACTTCCTTTATATCGAATAAGTTTATTATTAAAAATTACCACATCACCAATGTCTATACTCCTTATATGTCTCGTATTCACCCAATCTTCTAATAAATCCATATAAAATTGTGGAGCTGTCACTTTTAATAAACTTGGTATATAGTCACATGAAAATATCAAATCTCCACCCACGTGTTCAGTGACAAAGTTAAAATATTGTTTCCATTTCATGTCTTCATCTTTGTTTAGAAGTTTTTGAATCCACTTAATTCGCTGCGATTTAACTTGTGCCGAAAAATTTAACATCTTTAACCCCCCTTGCTTATAGTCTAAGAACATGGTGTTTCTATTGATTTTATCTGTTTTTCCTTTCCATATGAAATCAAAAGTTAATTCATCCAGTGAATCATAAATCCATTTTGGAACAGGAGTAAGTGACGCCCGATAAAGAACTTTATAATAAATGTGCACCTTCAATAGTTGAATCTTACCCATAAGTGTTAAATCCCTTTGCTTCCAAAAATTTAAAAGTGTTTTTATTTTACTTAAGATTTCTTTATAATTTAGATCTTCTTTCTTGTGTTCATCGAGGGAAAAGAAAATCCCTAAAACCTTAAGAAAGTCAACTATTTCGCCAAAAGCAAAATCACAATCTAAACGTTGACATAAACCTAACC